GGGACTCAATTTTGAGCCTGCTTCCCTCTTGATGCCATCTTCTTATGGGATCTCAGTAATACCCATGGTACTAAATGACATCTTTGTTGATTAATTTGATTAAAAAATACCTTCATGTAACAAGTATAAAAAACAACCAAAAACAAAGTAAAAAGACAAACACTGCACTGGCTAAACAATTGCAACTTAAATCATAAAGAGTTAATATAGAGAGCTTCTTAGAAGCAGAAAGGAAAATAACTAGTAATCCTACAGAAAAATAAGATGAGAGCAGACAGATCACAGAAAAAGATGTAAAATTCACTTAAAAAGATAAAAAAAAAACCTCTACCGCACTCGTGATAAGAGAATGCACATTAAAACTGTACGGAGATACCATTTTTATTATGTAGCAGTCCAGCAAAATTCTCAAAGTTTGACCGCATACTGTATTGATGACGCAACGGGAAAGTGAGAACTCTAGCACTCACTGGTGGACATTAAAAAAGGAAAAAACAAACAAACAAAAAAACACTCAGTAGAGGGGAATTTGGCAGTGTCAGGATTATATATGTATGTATACCTAGCCCCCAAATCCTGTTTATAGGAATTTAGCCCAAAGATACACTTGCAAAACTGTGAAAAGGCATAGACACAGAGCCATTCCTGGTGGCACTATTTATAATGTCAAACCATGGAAACAACTTAAATGTCCATCAATAGAGAACTGGTTGAATAAATTATGGTACATTCACTCAGTGAAGTAAGAAGACTATCTTTTTGAACTATCAGTGTAGGACACAGCCATATCAGGAAAAAAGTGATCTACAATATATACACATGTGTTATTACTTTAACACGAAGTTATGAAAAATGGATGTTTATTTGAAACTGTTCTATATTTAATTTTCTGTTACTTTTTAAAAAAGATTTTATTTACTTACTTGAGAGGGAGGGAGAGTGTGTGTGTACACACACACACACACACACACACACACACACACACCCACCCACCCAGACTCCCCACTGAGCGGGGAACGGATGCAGGGCTCAGTTCCAGGACCCTGAGATCATGACCTCAGCTGAAAACAAGAGTTGGGTGCTTAATCAACTAAGCCACCAAGGTGCCCCTAATTTTGTTACTTAAATGATATTATTTAAACAAAACTATAGAACTCGTTAACAGTGGTAATTATTAGTGATTGATAGGAACAACTGATGAAAAATGTGTGAGAAAAATATATTTATAATACACATTATAAACATACAGAGGATAATTATACATTATCCCCTAATGCAGAAGTTTAACTTTTTTTATAACTTTTTATTAGATTACTGTGTACTCTTTTTTTTCTTTTTATTGAGGTATAGTTGACACACAATGTTAATTTCAGGTGTATAGCAGAGTGATTTGACAAGTCTATATATTATACTCTGTTCACCGCAAGTGTAGCTACCATCTGTCACCCTACAATGCTATTACAGTACCATTGATTGTATTTCCAATGCTATACCTTTTATTGCCATGACTTATTCATTCTATAACTGGAAGCCTGGATCTCCCACTGCCCTTCACCTATTTTGCCCACCCCCCCACCTTCTCCCCTCTGGTAATCGTCAGTTTGTTCTCCATATTTATGGATCTGTTTCTGGTTTTGTTGGTTTATTGGTTTGTTTTTTAGGTGCCACATGTAAGTGAAATATGGCATTTGTCTTTCTGTCTGACTTATTTCTCTTAGCATAATACTCTCTAGATCCATCCATGTTGTTGCAAATGATAAGCTCTCATTCTTGTTTATGCCTGAGTAATATTCCATTGTGTATATGCATATACACACGTGCGTGTGTGTGTGTGTGTGTGTGTATCCCATCTTTGTCCATTCATCTGTAGATGGATACTTGAGTTGCTTTCATATCTTGGTTTTCTGTGTATTCTTAAGATGCATAAATGTAAGACTTTTGAAAAAGGATAATTAAATACAATAGAACTGCCTAACTGATATTGCCAATACTTAATTTTAAAAATGCCATTTTCTTTCTGTCATGTGGTACAGTGGGATACCTTTACTCTATTTGCTTTTTTGAAAGCATTTCTCTGAACTGTCTGCAGGTTTTCAATTTCTTTTATGTAGCAGTGAAACAACACAATCAGACATAAAGTTCACTTTGGTTGCTCTCCTTTTGTCAAACCCATGCTCCACTGGTTCCTGGTATTAGTACAAAATGATGACAGCAAGCTGAATTTCCTCTCAACATTAGTGTTTAGGAATGGAATACTTAGGGTTTTATGAGTCAAGACTCAGTCTTATAGGAATTCTTTTCCAGGTGCCAAATGCCCATCTCCTCTGTATATGTAGGTATGTTTAGGTAGACCAACTATTTGTCAATGAATTCCTTTGCATTCATTTATTCATCATGTAGCCTATCTGATATGTAAAATACTCATTTTTTTTAAGATTTTATTTATTTGACAGAGATCACAAGTGGGCAGAGAGGCAAGCAGAGAGAGAGAGAGGAGGAAGCAGGTTCCCTGCAGAGCAGAGAGCCCAGTATGGGACTCGATCCCAGGACCCCGAGATCATGACCTGCGCCGAAGGCAGAGGCTCAACCCACTGAGCCACCCAGGTGCCCCAATACTCATCAATTTTTAACACTATGGAGCATACTGGATGTCATCATAAATTAAAACTCTTTCAGAGAAAATGGTTTTTAATGTGGAGAGGTCCTTAGAATTTGTAAAAAATAAAATTGGATATCAGATAAGTTAAAATTTTTGTAAAGAAATTAAGCAAATCCTGTTTCACTTGGCTGCCTTGTTCTAGTGTTTTTGATTTGTATTGTTTTGTTTTTGTTTTCTCACTATATCTAAGTTTTTGTCACAATCTACACACTATACTGAATAATTCAGATGCAATCAGTTCATCCTTTTCTAAGTTTCTTATGGCTTCTGCAAAGCTCATCAAATTCAGTTTTGGAGAAACAATAAAGATTTGTTTTATTTTAATTTTTCCCTACACTTTCATCCTCATTGCATTTAGTGAGAACGTATCAAATGCCAACCACCACCCTAAAGTGAGGTAGATACAGCTTTGACCAAAATTGGCAAAGTTCCTGCCCTTATAAAACCCATTATTCTATAAGAAGCATAAAGATGTGCATTTTATTTTTTAAAAAGCAACTATCCCTATAGTTGGCTGGATAGGCTAAGTATCTCCCTTTGGCTCAGGTCATGATCCCAAAGTCCTGGGACCAACCCTCCCCCTCCAGCCCTCAGCAGGCAGTCTGCTTGTCCCTCACCCTCTGCACACTCCCCTCCAGCTCATGCTCTTTTTCTTGGGCACTCTTTCTAATAAGTAACTAAGCAACTAGATTGAGGTTTGATTTGCAGGTAATAAAATGCATATAAGTGTATATTTCAATGAATTTTTACAAATGTATGCACCCATATAATTGCTACCATAATCAAGATACAGAATATTTCTATCATCTCAGATCATTTATCCCTATTCTAGTTAGTCCTTCCTTGACATGTGTTTTGTCACTATAGATTACATTTTTCTTTTTTAGAGTTTCATATAAATGGAATCCTATTCTTTTGTGTATATTCTTAATTTCCTTTGCTTAATATAATGTTTTTGGAGATTCATGTTTCTGTGGGTCAAGTGGTTTACCCCCTTTTGTTGGTAATTATTATTACATTGTACAGATATGCTACAAATTGTTTAGCCATTCACCAGTTGATGAACATTTGGGTTGTTTCCAGCTTTGGGTTATTGAAAAATTTTTTTTTTTAAGATTTTGTTTATTTATTTGATAGAGATCACAAATAGATGGAGAGGCAGGCAGAGAGAGAGAGAGAGGGAAGCAGGCTCCCTGTGGAGCAGAGAGCCCGATACGGGACTCGATCCCAGGACCCTGAGATCGTGACCTGAGCTGAAGGCAGTGGCTTAACCCACTGAGCCACCCAGGCGCCCTGGTTATTGAAATTTTTAAAAATTTCTTTATTTGAGAGAGAGACAGAGCATGAGCATTGGGGGGGGGGGGGCTTTGTGCCTGATCCCAGACCCTGCAATCATGACCTAAGCATAAGGCAAATGCTTAATCGACTGAGCCAGCTACGTATCTCTCCAGTTTTGGATTATTAAAAATGCAGCTATGAAAAGTAATGTACTATTGGACACATTTTCATATTCCTAAGAAAATACCTGGGAGTGGAATTGCTAGATCAAGTGGTAAATGCATGATTAATTTTCTGGTAAAAGACAAACTGTTAAAGTGATTGTACCATTTTGCATTCTCATCAGTAACTTATGAGAGGTCCAGTTGCTCCAAGTCCTTGTCAACGTTTGGTGTCGTCTTTTAAATTTTGGCCGTTTTAATGGGAATATAGTGGTAAAAGTGGCTTCTTACCCCTGTCAGTCTACTTACATAATCCCAACTTAAAATAGATCATTTTATTAATAAATTTTAAGAAAAACTTAAACATTTACAAGTCTGAAAGAAAATGGCTTGCTTGATTCTGCAGATATTTTGTTTCTATTTTCCCTCAAGAACCCTCTAGGCTCTCTAGAAAAACATAAATCCTGTGTCAGGCAGCACTAGCTCCACGGAGCTCACAGCTAGGCTCTCCTTGCAGGGCCACAACTGCTAAGGTCTACAATTACTTTCCTCGCTTTTTATTTTTCGTCTCAGCATCACCTTTTTAAGAATTTCTCTGGGAGGCGCGCGGGGCGGGGCGGGCTCTGAGACTCCCTCCGCTAGCTCCACCCTTTACCGGGACCCGCCCACTACCCGGGACTAGGCTTAAGGCAGGCGATGGAAGGTAGCTTCCGGTCTCGCGATTGGCTCTAATCCCGCGAGAAGAGAAGACGGCTGCCCGGTGGCGGTGGTGAGGGAGGGGGTGTGGCCGGGGCGTGCGAAGTCCCCAGGAGTGAGGGAGAGGGGGGCGGGGTCGCGCGCACCCGGCGTACGCATGCGCGCACGCGGCCAGTCGGGCTGGGCTGAGAGGGGAGGGGGCGGCGGCGGCTGAGGCGGCGTCGTTATTTCCGCGGTTTGGACGGTTCGTGGCGGCGCGGGTGGCTACGGGAGAAGTAGGTAGGGACCGCCGGTGCAGAGGCATCGAAACTCCCTCCCTCCCGTGTCCTAGAGCCGCAGCCCCCCGCGCGTGTGGCGGACCCTGGGGACGCCAGGTCACCCTGCGGCCCCGGCCCTCCCGCCGCGCTTCAGGTAGGAGCTGTAGGCTCCCCGTGTCCATTGCCCGCCGAGGCCCCGGCCTTGCCCGGTGTTGCCCGGGCGACCACCCGGTACCGGGCGTGCCCGCCCTCCCGCGCGACGACAGCTCTGTCCTTGCTTCCGCACCGTGTGGGGCCAGGGCCGGGCCAGGCTGACCCGCGTAGGGCGGACGTGGGGCGGGTCCCCGCCTCAGGTGCGCTGCCACCCCAGGCCGGGCGGCTAGGTCCCCTGCCCCGCGCTCCCTCACTCCGTCCCCACTGTGCGAGGCTATGCGGGGGTCCTGCCGGGCCGGGGAAGAGGTTGTCCCAGAGAGCTCGGGCAAGGTGAGGTACCACCCCGACTTGAATATAGTTGCCTCGTGGGCTCCCGGGCTGCGAGAGGGGACTCTGAAGAGTGCCTTGGTCATTTGTGGCCAGTGTGGAAAGTTGGAAGCTCGAGTTGATTTTGTTTAGATCAGTGGTGGGGTGGCTTCTAATTTTTTTCCTTGGATGGTGGGAAGGCAAACTCTTAAAGCCTTGGTAGGTGCTGGGCTGTTAGTAAATAAGCAACAGTAGTGTTAATATAAGATTTAATTGCATTAAGATTTTTTCCCCCCAGTGTCATCCTCAAACTCAGATGAGGTCTGGCAGTTTACTAAGACTTCCGTCCAGTACTTGAACGCACACACATGGCTTGCAAATACTCTTGCCCTGAAAGCCACAATCTCTTTTACACCAGTGTTAATTTTATAGGCATTATGGTCATGAAAGCTTCTGTAGAAGATGATGATTCGGGATGGGAGCTCAGTATACCAGAAAAGATGGAAAAAAGCAATACAAGCTGGGTGGACATAACCCAAGATTTTGAAGAAGCTTGTCGAGGTGAGTTTGAATTTTTAGACTAGAAATTCAGAATCTGGGAAAAGGTAAAATAAAGTCTTGATTGCTATTTGTAGACTAACTCAGTAAATGAAATCAACAGGTAAGTGTGGCATATCAAGTTTGTTCACCACACTTACTCATTCTCTACCCTCTAATTTTAACTTTCATTTAAAGCCAGTAGGTATTCCGGGCGCCTGGGTGGCTCAGTGGCTTGAGCCTCTGCCTTCTGCTTGGATCATGGTCTCAGGGTCCTGGAGTCAAGCCTCTGCTCAGCAGGGAGCCTGCTTCCTCTTTCTCTCTGCCTTCTCCTCTGCCTACTTGTGATCTCTCTCTCTCTCTCTCTCTCTTTCTCTCTCTCTGTCAAATAAATAAATAAACTCTTAAAAAAAAAAAAGCCAGTCAGTATTTGATAGTGCATGAAATACTGGTGTTGAAGCAGTTGCTTCAATTTTTCTAGCTTTAAGTAACAGAAAGTGCATGGCAATAATTACAAATTGTGGAAATATGAGTTGTATTGACCTAAAGATGGTAGTAGTATTGTATAGTTGAGGTTTTTAAATAATAAAGTCACATTATTCACTGCTCAAGAGGGTCCAGTGACTTCCTATTGCAGGTAGAATAAAATCTTTATTCCATCCCCATAGCCTGTATGGTCTGGTGCCTGCCTACCACTGACTTCATTTTTGTACCACTGCACCACTAGGCTCATTATGTTAGTCACACTAACCTTTTTATGTCATTAAGCACATCAGGGCAGTTTCCCCTCGGACCTCTGCATATTTCCTTTTCTGTGTCTAAAACTGCTTTGCCTCCAGGTCTTCACATAGCTGGCTCCTTCCTGGCGGGTTGCAAGGATATCTCAAAACAACTAATCTAATTAGATTTAACCCTGTTCTTTCCAGCTCCACTTCAGTTGAATCACTCTGTTTTATTTTTATCATAATACTTATCTACTGTCAGAAACTGTGGCTTTCAGTTATTTCTTATTTATTGTCAGCCTTACCCAATGGAACATAAGCTCTGTGAGTGCAGAGATCTTGTCTGTAACCCTACTACACAGAACGTTGCCTGGTACATAGTAATAGTTTAATAAATGCATAGGCGTAAGTGATTAGAGAAATGAGCATGTTTGTTGTTGCAGGGGAATGAGCCTTAGGGAGAGACTGGAAAGAGAAAGGAACAAATGGTAGAGTGAGGGGGGTGCCTGGGTGGCTTAGTTGATTAAGCATCTGCCTTCCACTCAGGTCATGATCCTAGGGTCCTGGGATTTAGCCCCACTTCTCTGCTGAGCAGAGAGCCTGCTTTTTCTGCTCCTTCTGTGCGCTCCCCCTCCCCCCACTTGTGTTTTCTTGCATGTTGCTCAGGGATTCTGCCTTTCCCTCAAATAAATAAAATTAAAAAAAAAATGGTAGAGTGAGAGCTTGAATTTGAAGAGAGAGTAGGATCAAGAACATGCAAGAGAAATTAACTTGCGGGGGGCGGGGGTGCCTGGGTGGCTCAGTTGGTTGAGCGTCTTCCTTCAGCCCAGGTCATGATCTCAGAATCCTGGGATTGAGCCCCACATTGGGCTCCGCTCAGTGGAGAGCCTCCTTTTCCCACTGCCTGCTGCTAACCCTGCTTGTGTGTGCGCGCTCTCTCTCTCTCTCTCTCTTACTCTCGCTAATCTCAAATAAATACAATCTTAAAAAAAAATTAAGGGAAAAGAATGAGGAATTACTGAGACAGGAGGAACTGAGGTTAGGATTGGTGAAGAAATATATATACACACACACACACACACACACATATATATATATATATATATATACATATATATATATATATATGTTTTTAAGATTTTATTTGAGAGAGAACGAGGATGAGTGAGGGGAGAGACAGAGGGAGAAGTAGACTTCCTTTGGAGCAGGGAGCCTGATGTGAGATTTGATCCCAGGTCCTGAGATCCTGATCTGAGCCACCCAGGTGCCTGAAACAGGTATATTTCTCAGCAGATTGGGAGGAATGCATGCCTCGATGAGGTTTTTTGTTTTGTTTTTTTTTGGTTTTGTTTTTTTTTTTTTTTTTTTTTTTTTACTGAATCAGGTTAAGTCTTTGGTGCTGGTGAGACGGAGTGTTTAGTGCTCTTGAGAGGAGAAGTAGAGACTTGGAGCAGCTGCAGGTGGAAAGGGAGCCAGCTGAGTATAAGCAAAATGTTAAATCATGTGCCTGCCCTTTTCTTGTTTTGAAATACATGTCCAGTTAAAGTATGCCTACGTGAAATTGTGGAGAGAACATTACACTGGAAATTGGGGGACTGCCCATATCTGTCTATCCAAGGAAGAAAGAAGTGTAAGTTACAGTGTAATTTTTGTTCCCAGAGGTTTTTTTTTTTTTTAGATTTTATTTTTTTGACAGAGAGAAACACAGTGAGAGAGGGAACAGAACCAGGGGGAGTGGGAGAGGGAGAAGCAGGTAGCCCATTGCGGGGCTCCATTCCAGGACCCCAGGATCATGACCTGAGCTGAAGGTAGCCGCTTAACAACTGAGCCACCCAGGTGCCCCTGTGCCCAGAGATCTTAAACTGTTAGTGGATTATACCCATCATCTTGTACTGATGTTTAAGTGATCTGTATTAGAGAGCTGTCATTCTGAACCTAAATGGAAAAGGTTTTATGAAGTTCATATGACTTCAGTTGGGCCTTAAGGGAGTGGTCGAATTTTTATGTGAATGTGAGGGAATTGTTCTAGACTGAGATGAACTATTACAGCCAGAGTTCAGTGAGAGTTTGATGTTTGAGGAAAAATGAATAATTTTGCTTCTTAGTGGAGGGAACCTTGAATTGGCAGTATGGTTTAATCCCTGCTTCAGTGGGGGATGAAGAGGGGGTAGCATGTCATTTTGTTGCCAACCTCAAACCGTCCTATTAACTCTTCCATAATTAGCTCTTGCATTGTCTGAAGTGTCACGGATATGAGGTATACTTGAAACTAAAAAGTTGATATAGAAGTGATTTTCCTTTACATATAGATACACGGCTAAAGGCTGTTGGCAGCTCTTATGCTGTGATATTATTTGTTTTCTCTTCTTGAAATAATCAGATTCATAGCATCAATTTAGTTTAGACTTCTAGCAACTTTCCAAGAACTAAATTTAAAACAAATATTGTTATACCCTTTAACTGTTACAGTGGTCTTTCCTCTTTAGTAATAGTGTGATGGCATTTGGCTAGACTTTGGTGATTGTTTTTTTGGTACCAGAATGAATGAATGAATGAATGAATGAATGAATGAATAAACAAGCAAGCAAGCAGGCATAGTGTTGACAGTATTTTTTATGTACATTTCTACTTGTTCTTTTAGTGACTCTTCAGAGTCTTCTGGACCAAATTCTAATTTCATCACTTCTTTTATTTCCTGTTAGGCAGATGGCACACATTCCCTTCATGTTTCCTATATCTGACATTGAGACACTTGGTTTCTGTTTTTTTTCCCCCTGAAATTATTTTGAATATATGGTGCCATTACTGTATGTACTATATGTGCCTGATACATGACATGTCATTTATCTAAACAACACCTCTGAGCTTTGCTTCTTTAGGAAACTTTGCCTAATTCAAACCATCTCATTGACTCCATAAAAAGCCTTTTATCTTCGTATTTCATTTCGTTGTCTAAAGTTAGGTGCTTTCTGAAGTATAAACCCACAACTTAGAAATTTTACTTAAACACAGATGATCATAAAATACACATTGCTCTTTCTTCTACCTACCAGATTCCCTTCTTCCACACACTCTGTGGATAGCCAACAACCTCTCTTAGGATGATGACATCATTAAGTGTCTAGAACCCAGAGGTAATCTAAGTTTGGCTATTATTATTTCCATTCTTTTGAGCTTTAGTCTAGAACGACATGTGTCTGTCCTGTTATCCCATGTCCTTCTGTCTTTGATGGCTTCACTCATCCATTCTTAGTCTGTCTTTCTCATAGGCCCTATGGTTTAAAGCCTCCTCACCTACCCAGTTTCTTCAACTCTTGCCCAGTACTTTTGGGAAACTCCTTTTATTAATTTCTCTTCCCTCTTTTAAAATCCAGGATTTTTAAGCTTCTTGTTTCTTTTCCTTTCTGTATTGTCTTCTCTCATTTAGAACATTTGTAGGTGCCTAATATATACTTGTTTAAAGAATAAATTAATATATTAAGGCCATATTTCTTCAAATTAGAGAGTATCTGGATCTTGTACTTCAGAGTTTTGAGAACCACTGCATTACATTAAATGCTGTCATTTTGGGTGATTGTCTGAAACCAACATAATTATGAACACAAGACTGGGCACTGAAATTATAACAGTACTTGGTTATAATGTTATTACCCATTTGGTAATCTATAATCTTTTAAAAAAAATTATCAAACTGATTGCATAACATTTAATAGTTACCTTAGAAAAAAACGTAGATTCTTAATAAAACTTTCATGGACTCCTCTTCCTCTGAATTCATAAATCCCAGTTTGAGAATCATTGTTCTAGGAATTTGCTGTTAGCACTTTATTCCAAGAAGAAAAAGATGAGTAGAAATTGTCTTGGTGAAAGATCTGGGCAACCTGTAAAATACTTTTTTTTTTTTTTTTCAGTGATTTTGATTTTGGTGATGAAAATTATGTTTTTCTTGTTACATCTTATCAAGAATGTTTTCAGTGGTAGAGTGTAGGTGGGCTGGGCAGCACTGGTAATTATGGGTCACTGTAGATCAGCGATTATCAGGATTGATTTTGCCCTGCAAGGAACATTTCCCAGTGTCTTTTGACATTTTTGGTTGTCACAGTAGGAGGCGGGCTGCTACTGATGTCTTGTGGTACACACCAAGGATGCTGGACAGGATAGCCCCCACAAAGAAGTAATTATTTTGCATAAAATGTCAATAGTGCTACGTAGTTCACTCTGTTTAGATTATTTTCAATAACATTCAACTACCATTTAACCTTTCTGACTCTGCATTCTTCAGGAAAGGAACATATGGATGGA